CCTCCTCTCTCCTCCTCTCTCCTCTCCTCTCCTCTCCTCTCCCCTCTGCTCACCTCTCCTCTCCTCTTTCCTCTCCTCTCCGCCCTCCTCTCTCTTCTCCTCCCTTCTCTCTCTTCTCCCCTCCCCTCCCCTCTCTTCTCTCCTCTCTTCTCTTTTCCTTTCCTTTCCTCTTTCTTTTCTTTTCTTTTTTGTTACAGTATCTTCTTATGGAGAAATTCCTGGAGGTGGAATGTTAGCAGCTGTATTTGAAATTACTTAAAATGTTCTAAAGGGATGAGATTATTAAGTATTGATAGTCTAATACCCTTTGTCCTGCTTTTACCCAAAACTGTTTTTCTTCCCCTTTTGTTTTGCTTTTCTCCACAGTTGCAGTACCACGCAGGTCTAGCATCTGGCCTCCTGAATCAGCAGTCACTGAAGAGGTCTGCTAATCAGATGGGCGTGTCTGCCAAGCGCAGGCCAAAGGCTCAGCCCACAACTCTTGTCTTACCACTTCAGTAAGTGATGGGCTTGAAAAACTACTTTAGTCCTGGGCGAACTTTTATTTTGTTCTTGTTTTTGGCTGGGGAGACGTGATTTTTTATTTTTCAAAATTGTTTCTTTACAAAATATATCAATCAGAATTAGAAACCAAGCATAGCAGTAAGATAGCTTGCCTAGCTCCTTGTGCACTAGCTGTCATGCAGTTTGTATTTCACATATTTCATGTGGGACTTCTCCACATAGTGTTTTAGGATACCTTATAGCTTATTGTTTGTTTCCTTATCACATTCCCAGTGGTGGCAGAACATAAATTTGGCTGTTCTTATTTTACAAGTGAGACAGCTGAGGAGTGCATTCTGGTAAACTATAGACCAGTCATAGGCTGAGAATCTGCTAGAGCTGGGATTAGAATCCGTGCTGAGCTCACTTGTTTTTTGTTAAATAGTAACATATGTGTTCTTCTTTCCCATTAGGAGAGATAACAGAAACAGTCAGATTCAGAGAGGGTTCAGCTAGCTGAATTTTTCACACAGTGTACATCCTTGTAGTCACCCCTTCAGAATCCCGTCAGGGTTCCTCTTCCTACTCCTGTTCTATACCTGTGCTGTTCTCCTCCCTGACTTCAACAGTATTCTGACTTCTTTAAACAGGTAATTTTGCCTGTCCTTGAACTTTATATAAATGGAATCATATAACTGAACTCCCAGGGACGAGACCAGGAGAGGTTCAGGCCAAGTTTAATGAAAGGGAACTGAGACTGCCTGGAAAAAGATGGCAGCTGCACCGAGAGTGGTGGGGGCTTGTTTTTATACTTGGCATAGGGGGCGGGAGATTCCATAGGTTGCTTGGAAGCCTTTAGAGGGCTAGGGTCTTAGGTGACTCTTGGGGTGGCCGCAGGTAGGCCTTTTGTTCTGGCCGGGGTGATGGGGGAATGGTTTAGGCACCTAACAATCTTCTGCATCAGCTTTTTTTCCACTCACTATAATATCCGTTAGATTCATCCCGTCTCTTTGTTCCTTGTTTTGTGGTGGTATATCCCCCTGGGTGGGCCAGGGTTGACTCAGCCATTCACCTTGTTGGGTTATTTTGTATCGGAAGCCCTAGCAGATGAGTGCCAAGGCTCACTCAGTGATGGGGACACATTAGTCCTTGCTGACTGCCTTTCTGTGGGCATGTACACTGCCCCAAGGGACTGTGCGCCCACGAGACTGCAGTGCACCCTCTCACTTGGCCTGCTCCTCCTCCTGCACCTTTTGTTTACCCCCGCAGTTCCAAACTGCATTTGTACTTTTCTAGTCCAAAGGAATGTTCCTATGTAAGGCTCCTCCTTTGCTTAAGATCTCATTTATTTTCTGTTTGGTTAGCAAATACTGTACCTACTGTGTGCTAGATAGGCTTCTAGGTGTGGGAAATATAAACACAGGCAGGGCAGATATGGTCTTCTTTCCTAAAGCTTTTCATTTAATGAGAGAAAAGACAAAATAAAGCACCCTTACACAAATTAACAAATTAATGCTATAAGTTTTAGTTATGATTGGTGCCAGGAAGGAAATAAAAATGGATGGCAAGGTGTGAGGGTAGAAGACACTGCTTGAATAGAGTAGTCAAAGAGGGCCTTTGCAAGGAGTCAGCAGGACAGAGACGGGAGAATAAGGAGGAGGGGTGAGTCCTGGGAGTCCATCCTTAGACCACTACATCTGGGACTTTCACTCTTCCATTTGCTTCCAGGAGACGGTGAACATAACCAGCCAGCCTCCAAATAGTAGCTTCTATATGCTGCATATACTCACAGGCTCCATGTTTTGTTTTGTTTTTTAAAAAGGCTGACTACAGGAATGGCTTCTAGTGATGTAAGACAAGTGTTTTCACTGTTTGGCAGAAAGCTTCTTAAGGAAAGTTACTCTATCTGTTGTTTCTCAAGTGTTGATTTGGTGATTCGGCACATCTCAACTTTCAGCTCTCTAAAGTCTAGTGAGCCTTGTAACTTGTCATTTTCCCTGCGTGGATCGTCTACTGAGGCAAGATGTTTGGCAAGAAGTAAAAGACTTTCTAATGGTCCCATAAGACTGGAGCCAGAAAGTGTTTGTTGCTAACTCTCTCTTGACAAAAGTCAGTTCTTAGTCCATCTGTTCACCATTTGTTAATTTGCATTGGCTTGAAACCTGTTTACAGGTGACATGCTATTATGAGGACACTTAGAAACTATTTTAGGCATCAGGGCAATCAACAGACTCTGTTCTCATGCCAAAAAAAAAAAAGAAAGAGAGAAGTGTTCACAACTGTCATTATAAATTTATAGTAAATCACTCAAAATACTTAGTTTCAAAGAGAAAAGTGCTTATTGTGTCCTAAGAATACAACATTGAAATGATTTCCTATACTAAGTAGCCTATTTCCTGTGAAAAGTGGCAGCTACTTTTTCATATCATTGAGCTTGTTGGGCCCATGTTGTCTAGCATCCGTATGGATGGCTGTCCAGGAGGCAGGATCTGGGTCTAAAAATACCCATTGTCTTTGATTGACCACCTACTGTGTGCCAGTCATTATGTTGATGTTGTCTAGAGCCACATTATTGCTACCCTAAGAAGTCCTTTTTAAGTTAAAAAACAAAACAGTAGTGTATACATAATGTAGACTTAAAATACCAAAGATAACAAAAACTAATCATACTGTCACCCTAAGAAAGTTATTTAAGTTTTAATGGATATTGAAGTAGACTTTTTTCTATGTATATTAGTATATAATTTCTAAAATCAAAAATAAGCTCCAAAAAGGATTGTATTGTAACAGTAATGTTGTTGTTTATCGTATCCCAACCTTTTATTGGAGTTGTTAAATTTAAGATAATTAAATTTGATCTATAGAATATTTGAATTTGTATATTAATAGCTACATTATAGTTGTATTCTGTAGAAGACGCCTAATTACAAAATTTTTATTATTATTGTACTAAATAACCATGGCATTACTATAACTTAGTCATTCAGGAAATCCTTTGAACCCCCTTATAAAATCCTCTAAGGTTGCCATGTTAATTATCTATTACTTTGTAATAAATTACTCCAAAACTTAGTGCTTTAACAACAATAAGCATTATCTCTTTGGGAGGCCTGTCTGGGTGATTCTGGCTTAGAGTCTTTCAAAAGGTTATACCCAGGCTCGGCGCCTATAGCTCAACCGGCTAAGGCGCCAGCCACGTACACCTAAGGTGGCGGGTTCGAATCCCCAGCCCGGACCCGCCAAACAACGATGACGGCTGCAACCAAAAAATAGCCAGGCGTTGTGGCGGGCGCCTGTGGTCCCAGCTACTTGGGAGGCGGAGGCAGGAGACTCGCTTGAGCCCAGGAGCTGGAGGTTGCTGTGAGCTATAATGCCACGGCACTCTGCCCAGGGGGACAGCTTGAGGCTCTGTCTCAAAAAAAAAAAAAGGTTATACCCAGATCTTGGTCAGGGCTGCAGTCAGCTGAAGGTTTGCCTAGGGTTAGAAGCACATCTTCCAAGGTGGCTCACTCACATGGAAAATGGCAAGTTGGTACCTGGCTATTGCCAGGAGACCTCGGTTCTTCTTCACACAGGCCTTCACAGACTATCCTCATAACATGCCTTCTGGGCTTCTGGAGAGCCAACAATCTGAGAGAGCAGAGGCCAGCCAGAAGCTGTCCTTTCTATGACCTACTCTTGGGAAGGTACATAGTATTTATTCCACCTCATCCTATTCATTCTCAAATCTGCCTTGACGTTCAAGGGAGGGGATGAGACTCTCCTTTGAAAGAAGTAGTGTCAGAATTTATGGATGTATTCTAAAATCACCGCATTTGCCAACCAGGAGAAAGAGACATGCCCAAAGGAAAGAATGGCTGAGCCTGTGAACTCTGTTCCCTTACTTGTTCACGAAATGTTTACTTAGGGCCTGTGAGTGCTTGGTTCTGTGCCCTGTGCTGGAGACCCAGAGATGGGTAAGATAAAATCTTGGCTTTCAGGAAGCTTGGCGTAAAGACGGGGGAACAAATAAGCAGCAGAGCATCTGCTGCTCCAAGCAATGTGCACCAAGTTGACTGGTATGTCCAGCAGTGCCGAGAGGAGTCCATGTAGGGACGGCCCTTCCCCACATTTCTCTGCTGCCTGCTGTGAAGGCTGCAGAAGAGCCAGCTAGATGCTTTCTTGCACAGGCGCACAGGATTCTGAGGGAGGGTTTTATTTCTAAACAGTATAGGAAACTGGGAAGGGCCAAGTGGCTGGTTCCTCACATAGCTCCTCTGCAGCTCCACACATCTGTCAGAGTGATGATGGGTGGGTTTGTGCTGGCTGTGTCGTGGTTGGATGGCACTAAGGCTACTATAGCAAAACCACTGGCTTTGCTAACTATGCCAAGACCACAGATGTGACCAAATGCAGGAGATTTATATGTGTTTGTTTTTAAAATGCTGTTGGTTCTAACAGTAGTAGTCTTTGAAGACTCACATTCCCCTCTGAGTTCCCATAGGATGAGTGATTTGTGGGATTAATGATTCATATCGTTTCCTCTTCAGAGAAGCCTGTAAGAAAATAAAAATGTTTTTTCTGATGAAGAAAACCTTTTGCAGAAGGGGCACTAATTATCTTCATAAACAGCCTGTGTCCCCTGTTGCTGTGTGAACATTGTTGGGCTTTTCACTCTCAGAGGATTGAGATCAGCCTGGAGAGTTGGCTATTTGGTTTGACTGATCTAGAAAGTTGTCTATTGAGATGATGTGTGTATTTATTATAAGTAAGAGGTAGCTGCATTTGTGGTTCATCTTAGACAGCAGTCTTGACTTTCTGGTGTTTTGGTATGATTTTGTGTTACATAATGTTGGTTGCAATCAGCAAGGCCGAGCTGAATGGCCTGGGACTCCTAGCTTTTAGCAGCTCTGCTTGAAATGTTGGCTTCCAGTGACAGCAGAGGCGGAAGACTCTTCTGTGTCCTTAGTCTACACACCTAGATCTCTTTTAGATTGAGGGAAAACAAATAGTTTTTCAGAAGGAAAAAAAAATTATTTTTTACAAAACTTAACCTCTATCCCCCAGAAGTTGTCAGTACA